TCAGCAGGGCAGTCAGTGGTTTTTCATCACTGGATACTGATATCCCATCCGAACCCGTTGGTCTCCTTAAAGGACCCTCGATGAGATGAAGGTGTTCTGTGATACTTTTTTTTGGGAAGCTTGTAATGTATTATTTATCAATGTAGCTTCTTCCAAGTATTAATAATATATGTTCTCCCACTTCTACTGTGAAATATATTTTTTTTTCAGCTTAACTGAGTTCAGAAAATAAATTTAAACTTTATTCTGTGATAATTAATATCTTCTTATTTGATAAGGTAATCTATAGCATGACATCTTTGGTATAAGCCCTTTGGGAAACTGTCGTCATGATTATGTGATGTAAAAACATTTACCCTGCAGCAGTTAGTGTTAAAGGACCTTCAGTCCCTTTTCTCAGTCTATACTTGCGCTTCCTGGCTTTGTTGACCAATGATAAGTAATGTGATACTGGAGCTCTCAACTCCCAGCAACAGTGAGGGTTCTTTGGGTCTTGCCAGACCTGAACTTGGGACCCACCTGGACCTGATTTTGAAGGCTTATTTTTCACAGATAAACTAATATTCCGCACAAGTATCCTTTTAGCTATGGTAGACAAGCAAATCACAGACTCCATTTCCTGGCAGGTAGTTACTCTGAATCACTGCAACATTTTCAAAGAGCAAAACTGAAAAATACAGTTATTATACTAGAAATAAAATTCATACTCAACTTTTTTTTCTATCAATTATTTTTGTTTAGCTGTAATTAGGCTTGTGAATTTCAGGAACACTAGACATCATCTCACATACCAGTTAAGCAAGTGGGACTGGTTAAGTAAATCCCCATTAATCAGGATTTTTGTGTTGACTATTTTGATTAAGCAGAAGTCCTTAGTTTATGAGAATATAAATATGTTGCCTGTAACACATCCCAAAAGAAAAGAATGTTTCAGGTAACTGCCTGCCTTGATCAAGCTTGTTCCAATACACTGGAGTCCACATACTGACAATTTGTCCTGTAAGCCATGCTAAAAGTTTATTATTTTCAATATCAACACAAACCTCCAATATTATTCTCTTCTGTTTTGTTGAGAGTCACTGCTATAATTCGGCTTCTGCAACATTTGATAAAATAGAAAGAAAAGGTTTTCAACCCTATTAGCATGCAAAGCACAGGGCAAGGTTGATCTCTTGTGATTTTTTTTGCTCCTTCATAGCAACAATTGGGCAAAGACATCATAACTACAGTGCATGCATTAAATGAGTCCTCAAGGCTATATCTTCTTCAAAGAGATGATATATTCCCTGATTTCTGTGTGTCATGAAAACTGTCTGACATTAGGTGAGACTTGAATATTTTTTGCAACACCATAGTAAATGAAGGCATACAATAAAACAGAAAATTACTAAGGTCCCTAATAGCAAAGAGAGTAAAATATACAACTGAAAATCAGACACGGGAAAGAGCATTGGGCCCAAGGAACTTGCCAATGCACTGAGTTTTTCACTTTCCAAGCAGGCACATTATTTCCTCTTGCACCTGTGGTACCCTTCCAGCAGCAGGGGTTCCAGCTGAAAGGAAGGAAAAGACTGCAGTGGTGGGCAGTTTACAAAGAATTGAGGATGCGAACAGTGGGAATGTTGGTTCAAATAGACCCTCTGGGATGATTTGCTTGTTGACCAGACTTGGAGCATCTCACAAGTGTTTTGACAGGATGTCAGGAAACACAAGGAGGCGCCAGTGGCTGCAGTTCATGTGAGCTCTGAAAAAATAAGGTAAGATTGGATGGAGGTCTTAGGGGTGGAATTTAGGCTGGTAAGCAAAAGCTGAAGTTAAGGACATTCATAGTAGCGTAGTCTGAAATTGTCTCACTATACACAATCGGGGAGAGAAAGATGGGAAGGCAAAGCTTTAAATGCCTGGCTGAGAAAAAGGTGTAAGGAGAAGGGATTCACATTATTGGAAAGCAGAGGCACTTGCTAAAGAATGGGTGCCCAGAGAGAAGATGCAAAATTCATTTTGTCCATAGGAAAAACAGACTTCAGAAAGTTTAAAAACTTTCGTATGACCATTGTGATTCTAGCTGAAAAGTTCAGGAAAATTTGCAGGTGTTAGAAAGCACACAATTCAAAAAATAAGAAAGTACACAGTTCAGATAAAGGGTGCAGTCACCAGAATTCTGCATTCTTCACTGAAGAATACTACAAAAAGTGATGGCAGTCCAGTAGGAAATGCAGAAATGGTAGATCACACAGAATCAAACTAGGGTCCAATAAAGAGAAGAAAGCAAGCCATAATATAAAGTCAAGGGTTAAAATGGGAACTAGTATGGGTAGCTTTAATGCCTAATGCTAAACAACAATATCAGCATAACAGGCATGTTCAAAATCTGCAGGAAAGAAGAAAATCAGTCAGGCAGTGCACTGCCAAGGAGCAAAATACACAGGAAAGGCAAAGTAGACCTTATCAGTGGAGGAATAATGATGGTTGTTAAAGGAAGCTCTAAGTGAAATAACACTTAAAGAAAAGAACATTGTTAACACTAGCTAGTCAGGAAAACTTCTTTAGTTCTTCTAAATTTTACAGCAACTATAAGGAGTTTAAATGCAATATCCGTGCAGGAGCAATAAGAGACAAAATTACATGATGGTTGTACTCAGCTAAATAAAAAAAAAAAAAGTGGAAATAAATAAAACTGAGGGATATTCCTATAAAAAATCTGAATGGGATAGCTGAGACAGTTACATCACTGTGGGTGGTGTGGATGCTATCTAGGGACACCATTTTGAAGACGCACAGCAAATGCACAGCACCCATTAAAAAGCAAGTCAGTAAGGGTAAACAACATAGCTAATAAAAACAAGAACATATCTTTCAAAGAAATGAAGTTGTGTCTCAGGGAGGACAATAGAAAGAACCATAAAATCTGCTTTATCTATAAAACCACGATAAAGATGACAAAAACCAAGTTTGAATAAATCTCTGGCAAACAAGCTACTAATAATTGTCTTTTAAAGACTTGTGGAGGCAAAAGCCTGAGAGGAACTGTGTAAAGACAACCCAAAACTGAGATACAGAAATGCTCAGAGAAGATAAGATCACAAATATAAAACTTAATACATTTTTGTTTCTTTGTGTTCAGCGTAGAATACCTGGGGAATTTTTCTATCCTGGAACCTTTCTTTATGAGGGGACTCATGAGAAGGTTAAATCAGCTATAGAAGCAGTGGTGGAACGAACAGACACCACAGTAACAAATCATTGGGATTAGCTGTTGCATGCCCAAGAGCCTGAAGGATGAAATAAGTGAACTATTACGATGTGTAATATTTTGCTTCAAACCACTGTGGCACATGAAGGCTTGGAGGTGCTAATATAACACTGATTTTTTTCCCCAAGGATTTCCAGGGAGTTCAGGGGAGCTAAGGTTGGATATGACCAACATGCACAGGGCAAAACCGTAGGAGCTGGATTAATGGACTCATGGAGAATATCCCATGCTGAAAAAAATTCAACACAGCTTTTCTAAATAAAGGTTATATTTTGGAACACTTTCTGAATTCTTTAAAGAGGTCAATATGCAGGTAAATATGTAGGGATGGATTCAAAACAAATGAGGGGTAGCTGTTTGCTGTGCGATATATGGTTAATCTGTGCACCTCAATAACACAGGATGTTGCAATCTCTGAAATTTTACATAACGTTTCAAAGCAATGGGGCAACTTGCTGTAAGAAAAATACATTGAGAGTTGTTAAATAGAAAGACACCATCTGGGCTAATAATCATTCAAAACTGAGGAAATGTTCTGGAGTATTGTTTGGCCTGTTCTTATGTATACCCTCTGGATGTCAGTGTAAGAGACAGAAGGCAGGGACAAATGGATCTTTGTCTTAACATGGTCATTCTTACATGCCTGCAGCAATGCAGTATATTTTCATACTGAGGAAAAGAAGAAGAATATTTATATGAAAGAAAACTGTGAAGTTTCAGGTGTGGTTTAGTACCTAAGGAGCATTTATAATACATAAATTGGGATTACAATTCATGTGCAAGAAAAGAGATACAAAGTAAAAAGCTGCCATGATCACATGAATGTTCTAATATGAATTTGCCTTATTAACAATGTTTAACAGCTGATTCTTTTGTCATAGTTATCAAGTTTTATGCTTGATTAGTGTCTGCATTTCAAAGGTATGGAACATACAAAACTTCAGTAAATTTGAGGAGAGCAGTAAGTGACAATCCTGCTAATCATACACAGACTATGAAACACTTTACATTAGCATACTTCTGAAAAGCCTCATTTAAACTAATTGATATGAAATGTTATAAATTGTCAGTGGATGATCACTATTTTGAGGCTCTAAGTGTTTTCAAGGACAGATATAATCTTCTGGGCCAAGACGTGTAAAAAAATATGTTCCTGATTATCATAACAACAATACTTAGCATGAGCCAGCTTTGTCTTTGGCACCTGGAAGTCTCAGGTTATAACCTTCTGTAATTTGAAGGGGATCATCCAGTTTCCCTTGACAAAATAGTATTTTCCAAATAATTTTTAAAGTGTAAATGAAATGAACTCTCAGGCTCAGGCTGGTCCTTTGGAATGATGATATATTTCCACTTAAACATTCAAAAGTCATACTTTCAAATTGAGCTTTATATTATTTAAAAAAACAACAGTATATTCTATTTTTTTTCATAATATACTGTATTTCTTCCTGAATCTCAATTCTTTATCTAAAGAATTTTTCACATCAATACTTTCAGCCATGCCTGTTTGAAAATTAGTGCATTTGGAATACAACATACTCTTAGGAAATCTGGGTGGGTTGTCATTGACATCCGTGAGAGTGATGTTTACGGTGGTAGTACCAGCTAGTCCTCCCAGCTGTCCGCCCATGTCCTTGGCTTGGATTAGAACTTGATATTGTTCTTTCACTTCTCTGTCCATATTTGGCAAAGCTGTTCTTATTACACCTATGAGAAGAAATGGGAAAGAGAAAGAATAAGTAAACAAAGGGCTGTGATTGTCTCCTATTACATTTTAATACTGGATCTCTTGGACCAGGAATGGAACTCTTCCTAAAGGACTGATAAGAGAGGAGTTCACACAGAAACATGCAAATCACTCGGGCTTTTCAAAAGTGTGCTCATCAGCTATTCAACCATTCAAAATGACTGCTGTGTCTTTTAAATCAGGATATGAATGGCTGAAAGGGAATGGTGCATTTTCACTAGGGATGTGAATGGCGTGAGCACAGGTTTGCCACATCAGGACTGAAGAACACTGCATTGTGCTGAGTAGGGCAATGTAGGAAGAGGTGGCAATGCATTTCAGAGACTGCATCTTCAATTGTTTCCAATCAGTCACTTGCCGTCACAGGTAAGCTACTGTAGGCCAAGACAATATTCTTTTTGTACAAAAGGAGGTTTTTATTAGAAGACCTTCCTTTACTTGAGAAAGTTTTCTTATATAGCACATAAATGCAGTGAAAACTTTAGAAGTTTCCTTAAAGAAATGTAATTAAAATATCATGGTAAGACATTACACAAATGACTCTTAATCGTCAGTGATTTTGGATAGATGACATCTAAATAGGTATGCCATAATGTCCCTTCTGATATGCTAAGAATATATATGATAAAAGGAAGACTTGGAGAGAGAGAGAGGTACTACTGATCAAAGGATTAGCTGATGAGGTTGTAAAAAGCTATAAGGTTTTGGGCACTCAAGCCTTTCGCTTGAAACAAAATGTATAGGAGAAAATGCATTTGTTAACATTTTACAAGTGCATATTACATTGCAAAATACTATATATTCAGCAATAGTTTTCAGAAAATGGTTAGGTGCAGATTGGTGCAGGTAGCACGCACAATTGAAAAATAAACCAACTGGAAGCATGCTTCTCCTATAAGCTATTATTGTTTTATAAAATATTGTTTTCTAGTACTAAACCATTTGGGTTTAAAAGTAGTCTTTTTCCCTTCATCTTATAATGGGTCTGGAATGATAAGAAACAAACTTTAAGGGTCATTTTTACCTTTATAGCAACTAACCGCTGCTGTGTTAAGAAGTAGAAATAGGAACTGTTATCTTACTGTACTTGTTCAGAGTCTAGAAATAACTTTGACCTAAATCTGCTATTTCTGGAACCTATTAAAAATTCCTGTTGAACTGAATTGTATAACAAATTCCTTTCTCTCCACTTATAAAACTGATGATGATAATGACAACATTAATAATAACTATTTTCCACCGCAGCATGGCATATAATGTACTGCATAGATCTGGAATATGACTAGCAAATACTTAAGAACATTTAGATACTGCAACACTACCCTTTTGAGCTTTTGGAAATGATCATTGTTCAATGTTTTGTTTGTTTCAGACAGAAATCTTGAATTGTAAAACTGTAAAAATTTGTTCATATTCATGTGGTATTCATGAAAAAAAATCTTTTTGTAAACAAGATGAACATTACTAGGTTTTCTCTTGAAGCTCTTAATCCATATTTTTGCATTTGGAGACTATATGTTCCACAGTATTTTACAATATCCTTGGTATGCTTATTCTGGGGAGAAAAGAGTTATGAGAATTAAAGACTTCCCTTGTTATACTAGCAAAACAAAATAACAGTAAGTAGAAAAAACTGAAAATGGGCAGATAGTAGGTTGTGAGCAGGAGATGCAGTTTATCTGATTGTTATACCTCTTTTAGGTACAATTGAGTGGCTTTCTCGGTTAGATATATTCCAGATGGTCTGCAGAAAATGAAGAATTGGCTCTCACTCTTGTAGTAAAGTTCCAAGTCACACACTGTTTATTCCTATTTGGAAGTATAAGGGCATTCTATATATTTTTCTGTAAAAAACCTTTGTCTCCAGCAAAAATAAATCAGTGAGAATAATTTTCATGTCTAGCAGTTCATAGGCAATTTTCCCTTTTCTACCTACTCTATTTCAAAAGCATAGAAAAAAACCCTGAAAAATACTATTTCTACCAAAATCATCAGTTCATATGGACAGGATAAAGGTGATGTAAAGTAATCTAACCATCAAAATAGAAAAATAAAATGGAGGTAAAAATCCATGGGAAAGAAAGAACTACAAATTTTCATATTCTAGCTTCAGCTCCACAAAGAATATCCAAACTTTAAATCAAACGCTTATTATGATGTAGAGGCCTTCCGTGCATGTAAAGGTGGTCTGAGCATTTTTAAATCCTTCTGACTTAAGATTTTACAATAAAGATTGTTCAGCTCCAGAACTGAATAACTGATTTTTTTTTCTTTGCAACTGTCAATATCGAATGTGCAGAAAACTATGGTCTCAATGAGGCTACCGAAAATTGAAAATAGCATGTATGGGACCTGGACCAGAAGATATACTCTGCAAAGTTATTGAGCCATAATTCAAGAGGAGATGATCCACTTATGTGGAAGAAAAAATCGGGTGCCATGAAAAACCTTCTGAATAAATATTAACATCAATACTCCTGCTAACACCAATTTTCATTTCAAGAACATAACTGAGATCAGAATATGGACTAGAATACCGAGTCTAAGAAAAAATTGGAGACATCTAGCCATAAATAAGAATACTGACATCATAAACACATCAGAAAATTGGGTAGAAAGAAGTTTGTCAAAAGGTCATTTTAGTAACAGAACAGAATGTACGGAGAAAAGATAAGGGAGGTTATCTTTCTGAAGAGAAGTGCTCTATGTTAAAGAAAATTCACATTAAAATCAGAAGAGCAATTTCATAGCATCAAAAAGTAACCCCCACATATAAGATCTGAGGTCTTAAAATGTGCCAGTCCAACAGCTGCTTTCCAGCAGGGACTGTAATGCATTTAACCTTCCTGCAAGAGCAATAAAGGCTAACTCTCCTGTTTCCACATAGTTTGCTTACCTCCAGCAAAGCACTGCAAAAAATTAGGTCAGTAAAGAAGACGAGTAAAGGGGCAGCTGTGACATTCAACCCATAAGGGTTAAAAACTATTTAAGTGTACTAGACTCATATCAGAGTAAATGTTTTTCACCTTTCAGGAATGATTTGAGAAAAGAGTATGTGTAAAATCATGTGCATGGCAAACACAATCCTTATTTCACATATAAAGTTACTCTTAGTCGTTTCATCATTACCGCTTTGTGATGGGATCTTGAGGTAGTAATACAAATTTCCACAAACATATCAGCTTTTGTGTGGTAGAAGCTAAAAAGTAAACAGAATGTTTGGAACTGTTTGGAAAGGAATAAAGAAGTGTTATGATTAAATAATTTTATACATCCATATGAGCTGCCTTCTTGAATACTGTGTGCACTTTCTCGTCCTGAGAAGGAGGAGAAGGATGATCAGTGCTATGGAATGGCTTCTCTTTAAAGAAGTCTTCAATTTAGAAAAGAGGCAACTGAGGGAGAATATGGGTCTCTAAGCTCATGGGGAACTAATAAATAGGAATTAACTGTTCACTGTCTCATGCGATGTAAATGTGAGGTATGAAATAAGTTAAGAGGCGTTGCATATCAAAGAAGCAAGAGGAGCTGGTTCTTCACCCAAAAAAAACTTTTGCTGTGGAATTTCTAGTCACTGGGTGTGCAGATACTGTGCTCCTGGACAAGTCAACTCTGCTGGGAAGTGGACAAGTTACGGTGGAGAAATTCTTTCAGAGTTTTAGTTACATGAACACTGCTCATCACTCAGGAAGTTTGTAAGAAACTGTTGTTGAAGACTAGAAGAGTATTCCGGGGTGCATCATTAAACACGTCTTTTATCCTTCACTAGAGCTGAGCAGGCCATCACTTCTGGAAACATGATACAGGGCAGCATGGACTTTTGGTCTGGCCTAGTATGGATGTTCTTAAGTTCTTAAAATAACTACAAGAGAGTGTCTCAAAATTGTTACTAGAATGCAAGAGATGGCCAAAAAAGCCAAAAACAGCAATCCAAAAAATGCTTATCCATCTGCCAGCAGTTCTGAGTTTGTCTGTCATTTTGTACCCAAATGGCTTTCTTCCCCTTTCCTGTCAAAAACACTCAAGATGTGTCTGGCAGTAAAACTCTTCAGTGAAAAACCACTCTATCATCTCCTCAGTTATAAAATAAAGAACTGGAAATGCCAGAAGATCTGTAGTCCCGCCCAAGACCTGGATTTTAGAGAAAAACATTAAGCAGCATCCTGTGCATTATTATTCACATACTGTTTGTCTCTACAGTCATCGTTAGACCCACAGGTAACTCTCATATTGTGACCTTTCTCGTGTAAGACAGGTTACAGCCGATTATTGTTGCTCATAGAAGCATGAATCTATATGCTTTTTTCTGGTATAGGATTTTAAGCTATGCTGGGCTAGCTGTTTCATGAATCTTCCTTTACAGCTGTGTCCATTCTTTTACCACCAAGGTCCACCTGAGTAACTCATTAAAGATATTAATAGACAGATGTGGAAACACTGGTTTGTATTATTTTCCAGGGTTAGCAGGATGCAGGCCATCACCTATGGTCCACTCAATACTCACTACTGAGTAATAGACGAGTGCATATGACACAGCAATTCAAAGTGCCATGGGAAAAAAATTTGTTCTTCAAGTACTAATAACTATTAATATTTTCTTGGGAAACTTGTACTAGAACTCAAATCGTAGCTTCAGTAAAGTTTTTTCTTGCCATTGAATTCCTCCTCATTCTCTACAAGACTGAAATAATAATTAAAAAAAAGTATAAAGGTAAACACTTTTTTCCCCCCAGCCACTTGAAGAAGTCCCGTTTCAATTTGAAAAGTAAAGTTGCTCACTGCAAATTGCAATACATCTCCTGCTCAGTGGAGCATGTGACAAAGGAATGTGCCCATTGGTGATAGTGCACTAACAGCCCTATGAGGCTCTCACCACCAAACTAATGATTGATCAGGGATAAAGGCTCTTTAACACACAGTCTGACTTTCAAGTACAGCTTCACTGGAAGGAGAAACTATTTGCTGAAAGGGGCATATGGACAACTATACCTGTAACATTCAGAGTAACACAATGCATGGCATTCACCATGTAGGTTATTGTCTGCTTAACTGAATTACTAAATATAGAAATAAGAATGACATTTAGAAATATAGGACAAGATACCTAATTAACATGTCTACCAACTTCCAAATACTTCAGTCTCTTTAAACATATTATGCTTTTCTGCTCACACATCCAGGAACCCCAGACGAACATACTGTGCCCCAGGAAAAGAGGAAGGCAGGAGATGATTAGCTGTTCCACAGTCTCAAATTAGCTCTATATAGCAAAACAATCATTGCTAGAGAATTTCTGACCATAAGTTCAGCAAATAAAAATGTTGAGAAAAAAGAATGTAGACCCAAGATATGAAACTGAATCATCAGGAAAAAACAAAAAATAGAAAGCATGTAAGCAGATAAAGCTTTAGCTATAGAGAAATTGTAAAGCATGAAAAAAAAAAATTGTTCAATGTATACATATTTTAGCTATTCCAGGACTGACTGGAAGAGCATGTTTCTTTTGTTTCTACAACAGATTGTAATTCATTCAAAAACTAGTCAATACTCAAAACTGAATCATGTGCAAAGTTACTCTATTGGCTTTTGGCCATATCAGCCCAGTCCATATTTATTCATTGATAACACCCACATGAATCAAAATCCAAAGTTTAAATCTTCCACTGTTGCAGATAAACTATTTACCCGTCTTCGGATCAATGGAGAAATATGGTTGCCCCTGAAGAATGCTGTAAACCACTCTAGCACTGTTTCCGTAAGTGGGATCATCAGCATCTGTCGCCTTTACTTGAAGCACATATGCACCTGCAAAGAAACACAGGTAATCACATTTTCAGTATAGAGCAGTGATCAGGCATATTTCAGACACATTAGTTCTGTTGCTAGTGGATTCTGTTGTAATTCTTGTTCTACTGGAAACAAGGTGAGAATAAAACAGTCAATTCTTCAACTCCATGCTAGCAATCATCTAGGTAAGAGCTGAGGCATAATGGGAAGCAGCCCACCATCAGAAGATATTTATAAACACTTTATGATGAATGCATTATTTACAAAAACTTTTTACCCCACACATATAGGATGGAGGCCTGGGGAAGTGCAATACTGGATTTTGAAAAAGGAGTATGTCCTATAGTTTTGTGAAAAGGTTGACAACTGTGGAAGTAAAATATGTGAGTTGCCTTCAAAACAAGTGTTTGGTCAAGCAGCTCCTGAATCTGCCAGTGAACCAATCTCTAACTACCTTAAAAAACTATACCACAGTCTCCTGAAGATGGAATTCACATTCCCATTGTAGAATGAAATTAGGTGTTTCGTTCAGCCAGTTGTCTTCAAAATCCAGACTTGAGTCTTCTTCCCTTTCCAATACAGTGCAGTAGGAAACAAAAGTACCATGGAGGAAGAACCTCCCCTTGATATTCTGTTTTCAGCCATGGTTATAGACCAGACCTAGTGCAGTTTGCTTTATATTCTGACTTAAAGGGGACCCACGCCATGGAGCAGAAGAAATGCACAAGAAGACAGAAAACTCACTGTAAATGGCAATAGTCTTGCAGAAATGTCTTGTTCCTCCTGCTGGTCACTAAGCAATTTACCTGCATTTCCCCACTGCCCCATAATGAAAATAATGTTCAAACTATAGTCTTCAGCAAAACAGACGGCCACATATTTAGGCTTTCCCATCAGCTTTGAAGAGTTAATAGTTTCCTATGATCTTCTGTGGAAAGGAGTGTTGGGATTTGCAATGTTGATTTGGAGTCAGTGAGCCTATATGAGAAACAGCACAGGGAGGAGGGTTATCCCCCTGTTTTTGTTTTAAGAAATGTTCTGCATTTGGAGGTCATCTGACATTTTTTCAAGAATATCTACTGCAAGTGCTTCAAGACTGCTACTTTACTGTAATGAAAACTGGCAAGTTTCAAAGGATGTTCACAATCTAAAATTAACCTTAATGGACTTGTCGAAGTTTATTTCTGGGAGTGCCTCACTGAGAGATGGTCCACGTGAAAGGTCCCATGACTTAGACAGGAAAGTAACTCATTGCAAAGGTAGCTGTTTGGAGGATTTTTTTTTCAGTCCCCACCATCCCCCCATCTCTCCGTATGAGGACTGACAGTGGTGCTGAAGCGTTTGGAATTAACATTGTAAAAATACTTGCTGCATGATGGCTGGTCATACAAGACTGCTCCTGTTACAGTTGTTTATCAAACAATAGAGAATGAAAAGCTATTCCAAGAGATATTCTTTCTATCTCCTGAAGAAGACACAGATATATGTTATTTGACTAATAATCACTTTTTAAAGTCAATAGGTTGATTATGTTTTTAAGCTGAGGGCAAGTTTCATTAAAATCAACTTCTAAAAGAAATAAAAGATTAGCAATGAATAAGTGAATGAAAATAAACTATTGAGATGGATTCAGTTAACTAAAAGCCTGAGGTTACTCTCTTGATTTTCTGGATGTGAAAGGTGAGGAATGATACGTGTTAGAGAAGACCAAAGTCCAGGTTCAGTATAACAACTGTGGAAGCAGTGCCTACCCAAACTCTTGCACCTTTCTTTACATAACACGTTACCATAACCGACTATACATTAAATAGCTTAGACAAGCCCAGCTGGAGGAATACATTTTCCTACTGGAATGACAGACAGAAGCAATCTAATATCTGTACAGCATTTAATGGTTTTCATCTGTTCCTGGCCACAAGGAGTATCTTTGTAATAGGATCTCCCACTTTCAGCCCTGTCTTCTGGTCCAGAAATTCAGGGAGCCACAGCAATAACTTAGTTCTACTCCAGTGACCAAGATGGAGAAGGAAATTGTAGCTTTCAAATTTTTTCTCCTCTTCCCTTGAAAAACAGAAGTTCACTGTACGTGTCACTTTTGGACGCTTACTGTTGTGGAAGAAAAAGGGAGATCTGTTCCTTCTGGAGCAACTACACTGACAAAACATGTCATGTTCACTCACTGTACAGTACAAATTCCCTTCCTGGTATACACACAACTGTCTGCCTTCATTGCTACAGTATCTTACTACCTTTCCAACCTAAAAAATTCAGTCTACTTTTTCCACTGAAAAGTAATGTTAGCTTTTAACATACTTGCCGCCTTCTTTCCTCCCTACCAAAATGTTCAGTCTTTCACTGTGTTCTGACCTTAGGCTGGTGAGTTTTGCTTCCCTCTGAAGATTCTGAGATGCGTAGGTCTGAGCTGGAACTGGGTGACTGAGCACTCTGGCTGACAAGTGTGTTGCTTCAGGACTGGTTTAAGACAATAGCCTGCACTTCTACCAAAAAAAAGCAATGCTGTCACACATTCCCAAGTCTCCCCTTGGGGCAGGACTCATGTTTCTGATGCCACACTGGTTGCTACTTCAGGGAGCTGATTATAGTTTGTCTTCTGAGTATGAATTGACAAAATTTTGTCATCATGTTACTCAGACCTTTGCTTTGCACCTTGAAGGGAGCAACATTCTCCATAAGAGGGCAGGACAGGCAAGACCATGATTTACAAACGCAAAAGCAGAAAGTAAAGTTTCTTTGTATGTGCACATATTTTCTGAAGTGCTGAGCACTGAGAAGACCTACCAAAGGTCAGGATTTAAAAATCTGATGTTTCTGGAAAGCTAGCCACAACACCCGCCTTTCTCACAGATTATCAACAGAGAACTTGCAAACACCATAATGAAGATCGCTCCAACACTTGAGTCTATCTATCTGATAGAAACAGCAGACCTGTCACACAGAGCACTGGCCGTCACCTCAAGAGGGCGAATCACTTATTTTACTACTGGGTGTTCACATCGACTAACTTTGGACAACAAATGTAGACAGTTAAAAGGCTCCTAAAGTCAGGCAGTGAGGAAAATCTCATGTTACCTAATCAATACTTTTGCAGCACTTTTGGACTTCAGAATATATCATCTTTATGAATTTTGCTTCACTGCATCTCACTTGCAAATTGAAAACAACACATAAGTCTATATGCCAGCTCTTTTAAAAAAGAATTCTTAAACCTAATATTGTACTGATCTTGAGATTTGAAATCAATATTAACTGATACATTGAAGCTACAATGAGATAAAATAAATCATAAATGTGATTCGATTTTAAGAAAATTATTTAAAAAGAAAGCATTGCTCCTCTTAAGTACTTAAGCTGTTAGTTAAATAGTAATGTTTATTTTCTATCCATTTCAGTTACAATTCTGCACCTGTATTTATCACTGTCAGAGCTTTTCCTTTAATCCTTAGAAGCTCAGTTCAGGAAAAAATAATTACAGTGTACTTTGAAGAGGACTGTAAGATATGCTAGTTTTCTATGCTAGTTTGCTATGCTAGGTCATATTCAGAAGGCAGATCTAGCTCTGGTAAAGTTTGTGCAAAAAATGCTGCAGTCCTATGGAAAACTTTAAGAACTTTTTACCTTCATATGAACAGTGTGATTTATTCATTTATTTGTATAATCATAGATAAAATAACAACTCATTTATTTACTATTTTACTCTATCAAATCAATACTTAGAATAAATCTGATTTTGTCTCCTTATGGTTAAATGACATTTCATTATTATTATAAAAGAGATCAAGAAGGAAAGATGATCTGTATTTAATAGATAAAAAACTATTTATGTTTTATCTCATTATGCCTACTTTTTTGTGCACATGGTAGAGTATTTAAGTTCTATTCAGATCTGCAATAAAAGATAACCCACAACAAAAAGTCATATGCAATGAATAAGATATATCAGCATGACACTGAATTAGTGGAATTCATAAATGTATTTCGGCCAGGTGAAATAAAACAGAAAAAAAATCCCAAATCCAACAATTGTAATTGATTTTGATACTGTCCCGCAAAACATCCTTATCTCTAAAATGCAGAGACATGGATTTGACATGGCCCACTCGATGGATAAGGAATTGGCTGGATGGTCACACTAAAGTAGTTGCAGTCAGTCCCGGTGGAGACCAGCGACGAGTGGTGCCCTCAGGGGTCTGTATTGGGACCAGTATTATTTAACATCTTTGTCAGGGACATGGACAGGGGGATTGAGCGCACCCTCAGCAAGTCTGCAGATGACACCAAGCTGAGTGGCATGGTTGATACTCTAGTGGAAAGGGATGCCATCCAGAGGGACCTGGACAGGCTTGTGAGGTGAGCCCATTCGAATCTCATGAAGTTCAACAAGGCCAAGTGCAAGGTCCTGCACCTGGGTCAGGGCAATCCCAAACACAGATACAGGCTGGGTAATGAGTGGATTGAGAGCAGCCCTGAGGAGAAGGACTTTGAGGTATTGGTGGATGAAAAACTGAATATGAGCTGGCAATCTGCGCTCGCAGCCCAGAGAGTCAATTGCATCCTGGGCTGCATCAAAAGAAGTGTGGCTAGCAGGTCGAGGGAGGTGATTCTTCCCTTCTACTCCACTCTCGTGAGAGCCCACGTGGAGTACTGTGTTCAGCTCTGGGGCCCCCAGCATAAGAAAGACATGGACCTGTTGGAGCAGGTCCAGAGAAGGGCCACAAACATGATCAGGGAGCTGGAGCACCTCCCATATTAAGACAGGCTGAGAGTTGGGGTTGTTTAGCCCAGAGAAGAGAAGGTTCCAGAGTGACCTTCCAGTGACCTTCCAGTACATAAAGGGGGCCTACAGGAAAGATGGGGAGGGCCTCTTTATCAGGGAGTGTAGCGATAGGACAAGGGGTAATGGTTTTAAACTGAAAGAGGGTAGATTTAAATTAGATATAAGTAAGAAATTCTTTACTGTGAGGGTGGTGAGACACTGGAACAGGTTGCCCAGAGAAGTT